CCTCCTTCATCTGCCTTTCCCAGATCGTCGTAGGCCAGTTGAACTTTAGGCGTGTCGCCCGAGTGTGGGATCATGTCAATGGGGTAAAACAATATGTTTTCTGGTTTGATATCACGGTGAACAACGCCACATTCCTCGTGCAAATGTCGAATAGCGTGCGCTACTTGAATAATCACATGTCGGGACAAGTCTTCAGAAAAATATGTTAACCGAACAATCTGATGGAATAGCTCACCGCCGGGGGCAAGTTCCAAGAGAACATAGTAATAGTCAGGCGATTCTTTAAAACCTTTCAGTTTGATAACGTTTGGGCTATCGATATGCCTCATAATATTCACTTCTTTAAGTATTGCTTGTCGTTGAGCTCTCGTAAGCTTCTTCTTTTGCACAATTTTAATGGCTATCTCTTCTTTGGTTACCAGATGACGTGCTCTATATACAGTGCTAAAAGCACCTTCGCCCATTTTGTTCATGATCTGCCATTCCTCAATCCCAGGGTATATTTCTGGATGTGATTTCCTGGTAGTGGGAGACATTAGTTGTGATACAGCATACTCATAAGTCTTAGAGCTGCGAGACGATCTAGAATTTCGCGCAGTTCTTACCTCCTCGACGATACCAGGCGAATTCGGGATCTCGGAAGCAGGTTCTGCATTCCAATAACCCACAGATTTACCGTCTATTCGTTTCGGATTCTCCATAGCAAAATCCTCATCAAGCGCAGCTTTCTCTTGAGTCAAGGAAACCGCATCAATGTCCAACGGATCTCGTCCGTCTAGCATTATTGAATCTTCCTTCTTGTGCTTCAATAATTTCTTGAATTTTTGCATCGAGATTCGTCTTTAATATTGATGCAAAATTTGAAAACAGTTTATAGTGAAGTTGCGACCTATGACGAAATATCTTGGGCCAGAAAACCGCCGGGTAGTAGTGAAATAGACTCACCTGAGATTCGAATCGACCGCTTAAGCGCGATAACGGTGCAGTAACTCAGGGCTAACAAGGAAGCTTGCAAAGGAAAAGCAAACTAACAAAGAGTCAAACCAAATAAAAAAACAATAAATATACGCAATTATATACTTCGATATATAAAATACAACAGCTTTCGCTGCAGACCTTCCTTAAACTGCAGCTAATTTCGTTTCCCCTGAAGGTGTGTGCAAGGCTAGAAAAAGCTTAGGAGAATTCTGAGGGAGGGGTTCTATTAAAACCTTATTCAGGAAACCATGTGGTCTACAGTTATCGTCATCGGCTTAATCCAGGCCAGCTAAATAGACATAATGATACAAGTTCGCATACCCGTATATTTGAATAGAATATATACAATGCTTAGTTCTTATAGTTATATGGGATAGTTGACGGTAACTAGAGATACATTCATTCAAGGCAATACAATGACGTCGAAGACAGTTGCAGATGAGCCATTTTCCTTATTAAAGTAATTCCCAATAGTTACCGAAATTCCAAGTAGATTCACCTTCCAACACCACCAAGACCGTTGGCGTGTATAAGTTTATACCAAGAACGTCGACATTCTTATATTAAATGGGTGCAGATGAATCAAAGCTGACTTTCAAGAAAACTATTTTCAAATTGTACGATGCAGCTGATATTGAGAACGATCAATCTTTTTGGTCCAATCTACTAAATGTCCCTGAATCTTCATCTGAAGTGTTCTCTTTTATTTCTGTGTCAGATTTAAGGCGAGTGAGAGACTCTCACCCCGATAACTTCAAAACCCTCATTAATGTGCTAATATCAAAGATCATCTTCTTAACGAATCAACCCAAGCTTCAATCAAAACATGTTCTTAACTGTGCTAGACTCATTACACGGATCATACCCTCGTTATACGAATCAGCCGCGATGCGATCTTGGTTCAATGAATACTATTGGGTGTCAGGATCTTCTAATGGTCCAAAATTAATGGACTCAGTCTTGGTTTTGCTATTTTATCCTGGATTCACCCTCCCTGACTCAGCTCAGAAGTTTTCGCTCTGGCAGCCAGGAATTGGTTCTGACGCTAGTGTACACCCACAACCTCCGCCGGCTAATTGCATTCTCAATAGAGTGGAACTCCTTCGCTTACTGCTAGCTTTACTTTCAAGTCCCATGTACTCTTCTGCAAAATCTTTTTCCTGCGCTGCAACTTCTTACCTAGTTTGTGACCCGAACAAACGCCAAGTATATACATTGCTATGTTCTTTGATTAATACTTGCACTTTGTTCCAAGCTTCGTGGATATCTGCCTACACTGGCGATAAAGTGTCCTCTTATTTGACATTTTATTCTTTATCTACCCTCTTAATATTGATTCAGTACACTCAAGAACCTGTCCAATTGCAATATCGCGACCCATCTACTCTCGCACGGAACAATTATCGTCGTTACTTTGGCAAACTACATCGTGATGTCGATTTTGGTTTGCTCACGAAAATGTTCTTGTCGTTTTTATCCTCATCCTTGGATCAGTCATATTTCTCTCATTCTTCATACACTCATTTTTCTCTTCTGACTTCTATTGTGCTACTTTGGGAAACAATCACTTGCAATCAAAAATACTTGCACCACCTCGTTAAAAGCGGTGATGCAGTCCATATAACAGTGTTATTAATTAACCATGCGAGGTCTTTACTTTCTATTAATCCAAAACCAGGATTGGTTCGCTTAATCGCTTACATACTACAGATGTTTTCCTGTTATGATGATTACGCGCAGTCTCTAAATGCAGACATTTCTTGGGAATATCCATACCCTCCTAAAATGAAACAGCCCTCTTTTCAAGGTTCATTCGCTTCCTATCTAATAGTAATGCTGTCTAGCATTATAGAAAATGCTCTACAGACAATTCCACATTCCATCAGCTTCTTCTTCACTGCTTGGCAAAGTATTTCGCCTCATTTAGAGAACATCTCTTATCTTGCATCGATGAAAATGTGCCGCATGGTCAAATTACTATCTATACCGACCAATACTTCTCTAGATATTTCTATTTCACTGACCCTGTTTCATTTACTGCGATCTATTAACATTATCCTGCAGTACAAGTTTGAACTGAATCCGTATTTGGCTATATCTTTGGCTAAAAATGCATATCTGTTCAAGAATTTGGACAGACTTGGAGATGAAGTTGCACAATATAGGAAAGGACAGGATAGCGATTTTATAACGCGAACTGGGTCCGAGAATCTGACACCAACTGGCAGCAGATCAGTTCAGGAGCTAGATAATGAATGGACACATGCTTGTGAAACTTTGAATAATCTCCCTTTGGATACTATACATAGTATCATCGAAATTGTGGACAATCAGGCTGCCATTTTTCTTAGCAACAAACATATCTCTGTGGGGAAATCGACAGTCAAGCAGCAGGAATATCCTAAGAATTCGAGTATGGGTAAAACTCCTATAGATCCCATGAACCTGCTGAACGCTGTGGACATCTATGAATTTGCATTGTTTCTAAAATCGAATATGAGATTGCCATCGTCAGTCGAGGTTGAACCTGTACCAATTGAGCCATTCGAATGGAACCCTGACTTAATAGCATGGAATTTAGGGCTTATGTGGGCATGTGTATTTGAAGCTGAGACTGAGTTGTCTAAAGGTATCGCGCCAAGTTTATTTGCTGGTACTACCGTGAGTTTATTCAAAGTCCAAGAAAAAACCCCCGTACCTCCTAGTATAATACATCCGCAAGGCGCCGTGGATGCTATGGCTACTAGAGTATTCTCTAGTATTGGTAGTGTTGTGTCATATGACAGTTCAAATCGGCAACAACGACCTTGAGCTTTTTCTATAACGCAAAGTTTGATAAGTTATACATATATCAAAAAATGCTTGCAGCAAGGCGCAGAGTTTAAACTGAAGGGAAATGTTTGAACCATTGAAATAGAATATGATTTTCATAAGGTCTCCTAATAGCCAACTGCCTATTAACGAGAACCTAATACCGTCCGAATTCTGAGACGTGTGAATTTTGATCATTTGAGGTACGGGAAGAAAAGCTTCAATTAATGTGGATAGAAAGCCGACTATCTCAATGTATGTAGACGACCAACCGAAAATCAGCTGTAACATGAGTAACGTAGCAATAAATCCTGTGAGAAACTTCCAATAGATCACAGGTTCATTCCATAACCAAATCGAGTAGGGTCGCTTCAACGAAGCAAGGATATCTAACGGCGATCTGAGCATAGAAATAGACAAAACTTTTGCAGGTTCAGTTGAATTGAATAAGGAAGCTGAGGCACCAACAGGTTTCCACAAATGAGGAGTGCTGACGTTACTCAGCGCAGCGTTAAGATTCGGGTTTCGAGCTCGCGAAGAGGACCTCGCCCGCCCAGGTTTATCGTTGAAGAGATCAATTCGATCTGATACCAAGTTAGGATCGCCAAAAACTACTTTCGGCTCAATGTTGCCCAATTCAATTTTGTTCTGGATCATTGGCTCCTCTATCGGGCGATATTTTAGTGCAAGATAAAGGAAAGCTGTATGCGTCAAAGCTGTGGTGACAGCCTGAATTAATAAAGCATCGTTAAATGGATTTCCAAACCAAAAGAATATCCGAAGAACAGATGAAAACAACATTATTCCGCAAAGATCCAGGGATAAGCCTGCGGACGATTTCTTTCTATGGATCGCGTAAATCGTGTCACCCCAAGACATGATAGGTGAAAATGCAAGGACTAGTGTGATCAATGGCTGTATTGGTAAGCCAAGTACATATAGTCCATTATTTAAATCATCACTCTGAGATCCTAGCGGTACTGTATCCATTAAGAAATATGCAGCCGCGGTGTGTGAATTAAAGTGTACGTGATTCGCCTTGTTGTTCTTCAGAAAGGTAACACTGGATAGATCGATGTCGACAAAAGCTCGTTTCCACAAATCTTACAGAGGAAAAAGTTACTAATATATATACAAAAAACGAGAATATATCAAAGAATCCTAGGCAAAAAATATATCACGTCTTTATTGAAAAATAGAGTGAATTATCTTGAGAAGAGTGGGATTCGAACCCACGACACTTGCGTGACTAGGACCTGAACCTAGCGCCATAACCACTCGGCCATCTTCCCAGGAAACAGTAAAGTTTATTCGCCAAATATACATAATCACAAATCGAGACGTAATCATAAATACATTTTTTCATGAAGAATGTGCAGAACGTAGTTTCAAAAGTCAAGTAATTATATTAAATATATAAAAATTCCCTGTCAATTTCTTATTTTATAGTTTGGTTGTACGAAATGAGGTTTTGTCTGCGTCGAAGGTTTGTTTGTATGTTTTGTTAACCGCAGCTGCCAATTTTGACTTCTGTCTACCTCGCGAGTCAATACTAGAGAAAACTGGAAATTCTATACTCCAGAATAACAATTTCAAACGGCATCTAAGAACAAAGATTAGGTTGATTACGTGGAACATTTTTATCTCTAAGATAGTGGCTTGATCTTCGACTTGTTTGAGATAAGCAAGCAATTCTTTGAAGTACTTCTTTAATAGCTATTTTAGCACATGGAACATTGGTACACCTAGTATTTTAGAGATCATACCGTTTACCATCATCTTTAATTGGTTCTATACTCCGTTAAGCCGAGTTTTGCATTTTGGGTAATTTAGTCAGCGAATCTGAACTCCGCTCGTCTTTGGTTCTTCTACACATAGTTAACTCTCCTTCAAATCAGGAGCCCCGTTGCATCTACACGTTTGATCACTGTTTATTGCCTCCTCACCCCCTTTCAGACAACACATTCTGAAACCAAAGTGTTTCTATAAGTTACAATATTAATGGCTAAGAATTCTAAATGGAACAAAAACCAACGCCCGAATGGCGAAGGCAAATCTGTGGGTGCTTATAATGGCCGCCGGCAAGAACACTTTTCACATAATCCGAACAAACGCCCTAGATCACGATCCCCTCCTGAAGGTCCTGGAGGTAAACGGCTAAACCACATTAAGAACGGTAAGAAACCATATTCAAAAAATCATGGCGCTAATTCTTTAGCTGCACGGATAGGTGGCCCTTCGAATAATGGCACACGCAAAAAATTTCAAAAGCCAAAACCAGAGACAAACGGCAGTAATAACCAGTTGCAACAAAGTATTACATCATTAATATCCAAGCAATCTGTCCCAGAAGCTTACGAGAAAATACAACAGGTTGGTGAGGGCACTTATGGCAAAGTCTACAAGGCTAGAAATACGGTTAGCGGTAAGCTTGTGGCTCTGAAGTGGATCCGTATAGAGCCTGATAGAGAAGGATTTCCTTTAACTGCTCTCAGAGAAACAAGAATTCTTCAGTATATTAGACACAAAAATGTGGTATGTTTAATGGAAATGATGACCGAAGATTCAAATGTTTATATGGTTTCCGAATATATGGACCATGACCTCACAGGACTCTTAAGCCGCCCTGATTTTATATTAGATGTGCCTCGCATCAAATTTTTATTCGGTCAACTTCTCGAAGGGCTGAGGTACTTACACGCGAAGGGAGTTATGCATAGAGATATCAAGGCATCGAATATTCTTATTAACAAGCATGGTATTCTTAAAGTTACCGATTTTGGCCTTGCACGATTCACACTCAGCAATGAAAGACTGCTGGATTACTCAAATAGAGTCATAACATTGTGGTACAGACCTCCGGAACTTCTTCTAGGCGCCACTCGGTACAACACTGCTGTTGACATGTGGGGTGCAGGCTGCATTCTACTGGAGTTGCACCTAAGAAAAGCTGTCTTTCAAGGCACCGATGAAATCAGTCAGTTAGATGTCATATGGAACACTTTAGGGGTTACAGAGCTAAATTGTGTTGGCTTTGCCATTTACCCGTGGTATGAAATGCTAAAGCCAAAGCAGCTCATACCTTCCAAGTTTGTTGAAACTTTTGGAGGTATTTTAGATCCTACTGAACAGGATTTGGTTTTAAGATTGTGGAACCAGAACCCACTTACTAGAATTACTGCCAAAACTGCACTGCAGCATCCTTGGTTTAAGGAAGAGCCACTTCCAGAATCGTGTAATATGTCTTCTATCACCGGAGAATGGCACGAATATGAGGCCAAGAAGAAACGGAAAGAGTCACAGACTCATGTCATATAAACCTTGCGTGAAATATTCATATGCCTTTTACCTCCACCGAATAGTGCGGTATAATCGAACCTGCAGTGATTAAGCTTCTTGCTGACGGTTTTACAGAATTTCCGATTCGTTTACGGAGTTTTAATCTTTTACATCCTGTGCGCGCACACACGTTACTCAAGAGCCTTATTAAACTTTTGCTAAGACTGGTACCACCTTGGCGGTTTACCGCTGGCTAGGACATGCTGAACCTTCTCAAACGTTATATGCTTCTATTTTGGCTATTTATTCTTGGCTTCTCAAATACCCGATCTTTAGTAAATGCCAAGACGTACCTGACATTAATGATCTATCCTATCCTTTCAGAACGATAGTCAATTTATTTAGATCGGCCCCCTTAAAGGTGATACAACACATGGCTATCTGTATGATTTTGAGCGAGGTTCGCTTGCAGAATAGAGTTTCATTAGACTCTAGATACGGCGCCGCAAGAGATGCCGAATCGAAGACAATCACTGGCCTTTCTGAAAAGCGTTACATTGTACAGCTTTATTTAGGCTTTGTTATTCTATTTATCTAATGAACAAGCTGCTTTTTCATTAGTGTTTGCGCTAGTACCGCAGCTGGTACAAACTATACAGTTTTTTTGAGGCTTTACCTGTTTGGGGATATGAGGCTTCCTGATTTCAAATATTGTCAATTGTGCTCCTCAATCACAAGACTTTGTTCTACTTATCTTTAAAAAGGTGTCTGATGTTATTCATGTACGAATTTGCTCCCTCTTAGTACTCAAAACTTCTGCCATGGACTTTGTTCAGTCAGCTATATATTCGAAATCAGCTCTTTCTTCGAAATAAGCTTTGTGGACCGTAAAGCTTATTCTGTCCACCAAGGTTGAGAATATAAACTGAGAACGGACTTATTCTGTGCGACATAATTGCAGGGTTTATTTTTCTTACAATATTTTTTGGTTTTTGCACTATTGCATTATATAAGCAAGGGACAATCAGAGATACTCTTCTTTTTCTCTTTTATAGATTAAAGGAATAAAAAGCAACTATTACTGCATCATCTCTCTGTTGATAGTTACTCATCGAAGTCTGTTGATCTCTTATTAGTATCACCACAACTACAATGCTAAATTACTTTCTTTTCTTTGCTAGTGCTGCGTTTGCCAGATATTATCGCAGAGATGATGATGAATGCTCTAATGACAACGATTACGATGGACGATTGGGACTCAGAATTTCTGCTATCTTCGTCATCTTAGCGGCTTCAGTATTAGGTACCATAACCCCTATTGCCCTTAAGAAATGGCGTTTTGGCTTCACTCCCAACAAATACGTTCTCCTGCTATTCAAATACTTTGGTTCAGGTGTGATTATTGCTACGGCATTTATCCATCTTCTTGATCCAGCTATCGAAGCTCTAGAATACTCTCCCTGCTTGTCGGGCACGTGGACAGTATATCCATGGGCCGAAGCTTTATGTCTGCTTAGTATCATGGTAATGTTTTATATTGAGTTCATGTTACTGCGATATGCTTCATTCAAAAACTTCACTGGCGAAGCTGATGTCAATGAAGTTCTTACATTTGGTCATGACCATCCTCGTGAGGGTGTCCCCGATTCACAACTTCAAGAAACCGGACAGGATGAATCGTCACAGCCAATTATAAAGGAATCATTTGATAACGAGGCTGGTGATAACTCTTCCCTAATCGAGTACACTGCCAGAGTTGGTGAAGTATTTATTCTTGAGTTTGGTGTTATTTTTCATTCAGTCTTCATTGGTTTAACTCTTGCTGTCTCTGGAGACGAGTTCATTACTCTGTATATTGTTCTAGTTTTCCACCAAGGTTTTGAGGGACTTGGTCTTGGCTCTAGACTTGCTGAAATCGACTGGAAGGCTAGACCTTGGACGCCGTATTTCATGGCCTTGGGATATGCCGTAACTACACCTATTGCTATTGCTATCGGTTTAGGCGTTCGTCATAGCTACCCTCCTGACGGAAGGACCGCAACTATCACCAATGGTATATTTGACTCTATTTCAGCTGGTATTCTGATTTATACAGGTCTGATTGAGCTTTTGGCCCACGATTTCCTGTTCACTGATTACTTTAGAAAAGCTCCAATCCGTGAGTTCTACATTTGTTTCTTGTTCTTACTAGTCGGATGTGGTTTGATGGCCTTACTTGGACGTTGGGCTTAGTGCTTATTATAACAATAATGAGATAGTCTTTCCTCTTTTTTTATTCTTTCTTATTTAGATGCTGTAGTCGTTGTAGTAGTCTTTTATCCTAAGCCGCACGTGACTATGTCTTAGTTAACCCACCTCGAAATTCTCTTCTACCAATCCACCAACCAGCAACTATGAATGAGAATTTACTGCAGCGTCTGCCTAAGCAGCTGTATAATTTTTTTGTAAAATACCCTCCGCGAACTATAAAGAATCCTCCATACTCGGTTAAGCCCGGTGTATCATGCTTTTCTGAAGAAATGAACCCGTTCTTGCCTTCGAAGCATCCCGAATCAGGACACTGGAGAGCTCCTGTTTATTCTCGAAGAAGACAAGTACAACTATACAGACTAGCGGAGAAATTCAACATGGCTGACCTTCTGCCGTTGCGAAAGGATGGCGTACCTGTAATTCCGTCCGAACGTGTTAACCGTCCCATGAAAGGTTTGCTGAGATTCAAAGGAAACAAGGCGGAACGGGCACGCGAAGATCGTCAGAAGAAAATTGAAGAAGGTCTCCAAAGGACTAAGGAAATATTCGAAAAGAATGTTGGCCGCAATAGACGCAGAGAAAGATTAAAGCCTACGTGGTTTTAAGATACAATGGGCCTCACTTATGTGTAAATAGATATGATTTCATTATGTAACTTCGTGATGTGTAGCAATAGTAGTAAAGTTCTTACTTTCTTGTCGAGTATGACAATATATTATACAAAAGAGAAAGAAAGGTACTACTGCCGGTTGAATGCTTCCGG